CAAATTGCCAGCATCACTACTTTTGCACGTTGGGGCCATTATTAAGTAAAATGAGGGTTACTTGTACACAAGCACTGCAATTCTGCGAGAGTCAATCTGCTAAGTGAGACAGCTGCTAAGTGACTAATGGGCAGGTAGCATGTACAGCATGGAGACACTGGACAAAGTGATGTTTCACATCCCAGGTGGGATGGAGCAGAACGGCGTGAGATGTCATCATGGTACTCAGAACGGTGTGCAATTTAAAACTTGTGAATTGTTATTTCATTTGATGTTTTCAGACCACAGTTGACAGAGGGTAACTGAAACCAAGGAAAGTGAAACCATGGATAAGGGGGGACTACTGTAAGGAGAAATGAAGATTATCAACCAACAGAGTTAGAAATGGAAAGCAGATTGGACTGAAAATAAAAATGCAGGTTTTGTATTAAAACCAAGAATAGAGGTTTACAGGAAACTTAGAAAAAAATAAAACGTAGGGAAACAGAAGGCAAAGGAGTAAGGTGCTACATTTTGAACATGAGATAGAGGAACATTCAAGTGAATTTTTTAATTCTTCTGCAAAGAGTTTCAGAAATACACATATGATGACATGCCAACACTCTCCCTAGTCCCTTGGTATCTGCCCCTGAGGAGACCAAGTGGAAGAGATCCCCAGACTAAAATAGTCAAGAGTCTATGGAAACTGCTGAAACAGCAGCAATCCCTGACCTGAGCCTTGCGGTCTAGGACTCTCCACTCGGAGAAAACACAAGAGAGGAGGCAGACATCAAGCAACACTTCTTCCCCAGAGATTTTGAGTCATTTCAAATAATTCACATCTCCATTAATATTCTAGAATTATCTTGACATCTTTAAAGAGGACAAAAACTAATATGCTTCCTCAAAGCTTCTTCAAGATTCCAGTACTAGTTTAAGACCGAATTGTCCTCACCTTGCAGCACTTCCTCTCCACTTATAGCATCAAAGACCCAAACCAAACATAAGATATAAAAATGTGGCAAGAGGGGTAGGCCCAGGAGAAAGGGACAGTTAACAACATAAAAAGCCAAGAGAAATATAGGGTTAACCAAGGTTCACTTTCAGGTGCCTACACAACGCAAGCAATGCAACAGGTTAAGACAGACTTTACAGAACAAATGCTTCTTGTAGAGGCTTTTGATAGCTATTCTTTAGAACCAACAAGTCTTTGGCAAGAAAGCAAGCCATAAATGAGGAGGATTCAAAATTTTACCATAAAAGGAGGAAACAGTCAAGGTTAGGGTCACAGATTGTTCCTTTTAAAGAGCAAGAGGATGCCTGTGCTTAGCCTAAAAAGGTCTAGGGAATAGAGGTCTTGGTCTGTTGACAAGAGTCCCACTTGGCCCTAGGAGTTGTACAACACCTTAGGTCCAAATACCCACAGGATGGGATGGAGTCCCTTTCCAGTTCACTTTGAGCCAGATAAAGAACAATATTAAAAATAAAAAGGTCTAATAGCTAACACATATAGCATTTCCTACATGCTAGGACTCTAAAGGCTTTATATATTAACTCATTCAACTATTAAAACAACTAGATGAGATGGGTACTAATAAAATCTCCCATCTCACAGATGAGGAAGTTGAGAGACAAAAGTTTAAATGACTTTGCTCACAATCCCTCAGCTAGCAAGAGAGGGGAGCTGGGGTTAGAACCCAGGAAGTACAGTTCCCAAGTCCATAATCAGAATCATCACACTACACTGTCTCTCAGGAAACTGAGCCTCCAATCCAGAGCCGGCCCACATTTTACATCCTTATCCCTCTCTATTCATGTCCTTATGAGTTTTATTATTTATTAGAGAGTCTTAGGAATGCCTTATTAAATCTATCAGAACCAAAAGCAGAACCTCCCCTTTCCCTTTCTTTTCCACCTTGTCTCCAGGGACACTCAAAGGTAAACCACTGCCACGTGTTGGGATGGGCAGGCCTTGTAGAGCAATAGAACATCCCAGATGGTTTGGTATATTTCACTGAATGAATTACTGTCTTGATGTGATGAGGTAATAGGGAGGGGCACTAATGAGAAAGAGAGAACATTAATGTTTATGCGAGGGAGATGAAATGGAATAATTACCTAAATAAAAATCAAAGTAAGTCTTCTACTGAAATTGTACCTATCCTCCAAAGGCCTATCTCAAAGATCACATCTCCCAGCCAGACTTCAGCTTAAAGAACCTAAATAATATTCTGTTGATGCTTGGCCTTTGGTATCTCACTTATTACAATTTATACCATAGGTTTATCTATAACATACTTGAAGCAACTTGTGCGGAAAAAATTATTAGCACAAGGCACTCTATCTGTTTAGGTCATCGGAGTGAAAGGGAAACTGCAGTGGGAGTGGAAGTTGTGAAAAGGGGTCAACGTACCCCCCCAGCCCTCTAGGGCAGTCTAAGGCAAATTCAAAGCAAGATAATAACTGAAGTCTCTGAATTGAAGGCTTGAAACAAGTTTCTCATTTTTCATACATTTAAGTATGTTAAGGTCTTTTTTTTCCATAACCATTTCTGTTGAGAACAAGCAGAATTCAGATTATACTTTTATTTTAATATGGAATAACTGTCCATTTTAAGGGAGAAAAAAACCCCTCCATCTTTCTCAATAGTTTGTGATCTCTGAGGACAGGGACCCATTTGGTTCCAGCGAGTTCTCCAAGTCCACACACCTGGCGAACATACCGTGGGCCTTCATAAATATTCTCGACTACACAACCACAACCACACTCAACAAGAGACAGAAACCTAAATGCTACTTTTGATTCAAAGAAATCTAAAAGTAATGACTTCTATATGTAACCATAAAAGCCTCGTTTCAATCCAAGTAACTTTAAGCTTCTTATCTCATAAATTAAACCGAATGTTCTACATGCCTGTAATTTTCTAAGTTGGAGAGGGGGTGGAAGAAGAGAGAGAGGAGTTACTCAGAACCTGTAAAATGATACCAAACGTTTTTGGGTTTATCTGTCTGTATGTATGTATCTGTGTGACACGTATATAATCATATTTCTCCCCCCCAAATTCAAATGAATATTCCACCCAATAATTAATCTCAGCAGATAATCAAGAGATAGCTATGGAGAGAGAGAGAGAAGAAAGAGGCACAAAAGAAAAATAAAGAAAACACAAGAGAAAGGGGAAGACAGAAATAGACCAGCAGGAAGAAAGGAAGGGAAGGGAATGGGAAAGGAATAGCCACATAAAGAGTGAAATGAAACAAAAACAGTTCGAAGAAAACTTTTCCTTGTTGAAACTTCCAGTAAAATCCAGATTCCTGCCGAAATGGAAAACTCTCATCTTGGGTGAGTGACTGGCTGAGGTTTGTTATGAAAGGAAATCAATATTTTACTTGACAATTTCCACTCTAAATGCCACTGTCATTTTCAGTGCCATTTCGTTGTCATCTTCCCACAGTAAATAAAGAATAGTATAATACATATTATTCCCCCTGAGCTTTGTAAACAAGATCTCAATCGCACAACTCCAATAAATCATCCAGCAAATTCTTGGCAGAGTAAATCAAAGAAAACACGTTTACCCGAGGTGAACGGCAGCCACTGGACTGTGCATTAACCAAATTTGGTTTCAGACAGCTCCACCAAACACGCTCTAAATCTACCCAATAATTTGCCCACAGCCATGCTGCCATGAGCCACCACTAAAATCTAAAAACTTCACTATGAAAATGTTTCCCATCAGTTTTCATTTCTGATGTAACTTGGTCAAAGCCTCTTAGACAGACTCCATTATTTTCCATGTTAACACCGCTAGGCTGAAAAAGAGGCTTTCTTTGTCCCGTTAATGTGGGTCTACTGTACAGCTTCAGTGGATATATGGAACATATTTATCATGTCTCAATCCAACACCTCTTATCTCCCATTCCCATGTGGAACTGTAGCTTTAGAAATGGCAACAAATCTACAAAGAAACAACTTGAAAAATACCTTCCTTATAGAGTTACTTTTCTTGCTGCTTTTTTCATAATGTAATTTTTTAATAAGCTACAATTAAAGTCAGTAAGACTTAGAATCTCATAATACCATAGTTTTATAAGCTTCTTCCATTTTATATAGTATGTATGTCTTTCCAAATCTGGCAGAACCCTATTCTATATATTTTACATAGTTTAAAAATCACATAAAACATAATAAAGGACTTATCTTTCAACTACATTTCCATATTATACCATGATTCAAATGTGCCACCCTTCTTAGCAAATTCATTCGAAGGAACTGATTCCAAAAGAAATCTACAAGTGTATAAAGTTTTTTAAAAGAAGGCTAGAATCAAACAGAAATCTGTAAAAGTCACATTCTCGACATACACATCTTATCCTGAACTTCTAAAATATTCACATCCGTTATCAATCACTATTTTATATTTGATGAAATGTGTATCTCCTTTATGCTGCTGCAGAACATTATGAATTCCAAAGTTGATTTTGCTGTCTCCTTGAAATCAATTTGATGATAGGGATAAACATGGTGATTATTACCAATAATGAAGCCAAGTGCTAATAATTCAGGCGTTCTACAATTATTATGTTTAATTTAGTCTATTTCCAGAGACAACCTGAGTGGCTCTGTGACTAGGGACTGAACATAGGCAGAAGTACTTCCATTATAGTCTGCAAACTCTTTCTTGTTTCCATAGCGAAAATACCTTCGTGACTTTTCTCAAGTGATAACAGTCTGCTTACAAATAAATAAAAAACCGCCCACTACTTTTATCAACAATTATTCCAAATCTACTTATTATCCCACCATTATTGATTACAATGTGGACTTTTAGGAATTATTAATTGAAGGGTACTTTGCAGTCTGACGCATCAAGGACAAGACCCAAGAGAAACATCATCAATAAAACCAAAAACAAAAGAACAAAATACTTAAGTGATCCTTAGGCTGTCCATTTTGAATTAAAAAGCAAGCAGAAAATATAAACATAAGTATATTTTAAAAGCCAGTATTTCAATGCTTACTTTCAGGAGATCCTTGGAGAAATCACCACCCTCATTTACCCCTTGGAGGTTTGCAATGAACTCCTGGCAGGTCATCTTCTTTCCAATATTCTGGAATATAGGCAAATAATACATCATAATGACATATATGGAATTAAGATTAATTCCTAAAATGTGATCAAGCAAAGCAAGATTGATTTGGATTTCAAAACATGAATACACACCCCTTCCCAGAACATATATATATACACACACACATACATAGAATACAAATTTATATGTACAACAAAAACAGACGGTTTATTATGCTTTTAAAACTGTCATTAAATATAAGTAGCAAAATTACGTCAAACCTTTATTTTAACTTAAGAAAAAATCTGAAAAATCTATACATTTATATAATTAACAGTTTTTAATGAAAAATATAGATTAAAATGACATTTCTGAGCTTAATTCTAACAGCTGTTTATTTGCTTGTTTATTTGTATTTCCTAAATACTGTCCAGAACTATGAAGGATCTGAGAATTTAGCTTACTTTCAAGCTAATAAGACTAGTCTGTCAATCTCATGAATACTGGCAGAAGTAGTAAGACTCCTGGGGCAGACACACAGGAATTTACCACAACAATAGGGATTAGCCAGAATATCAGCATTTTCTTGCTCCAGTCCCAAGTCTCATTTCTCACAGAGCAACTTGTGTTGGGCCAGCTGACACCTGCACATGCAGTGGATTGTGATACAGGCAAGGAACCCTGAGATTTGGGAACCTGAATCTTCATACTGGGCAGTAAGCATGCTTGCTCCTTTGCTCTAAACCGAGAAGCCAGCTTTTATCTTCCAAAGCTATAAGCAGACCTATCCATTGCTCTGGGGTTACCACACCTTCCAAAAGCTGCTCGCTATAGAAATAATCTTGAAAGATAGACCAGAACAAAGGCAACCAAAGCTTCTGTTCACAAAAGGTGCAGAAAAGCAAGAGACCAGTGGAGAAGTGTGTCCACACACACTGCCAAGCCGACTCAAGGATAATAAGTTTAACTAAAGAAAATCTCATTAATAAACAAAACATAATTAGAAAATCTAAACTACAAAAAGAGAAAAGATACAAATATGCTGACTGGGAAAACTAATAAAATTACTATGACAGAGAATCACCTCCTATGCCAACACCAATCAACTGGTCAAAGCTGCCAGTTGCGAAGGATTCTGAGGTTCAGTCTGAACACTAGCAGAAATCCATCACAAGCACAGGAAAGGGATAAAGAACACAGACAAGAGGCACAAATATGGGATCTCCGGCAAAATGCGGTCCAGGCGAACCCGAAGTGCACCCACATATTAATATCCCTGTGCACAACACACATACAAGGAAAATGTATGTTCTGCAAGGCTATTTTATTCATAAAAGACTAAGAGTGAGGTAGAACAGTAGTCTTCAAGCTGGGGCAGAATACTGCTGGAGGTAAAGACTGTAAAGGGATGCAATGCCATAGAGAGTTTTCAGTGAGCACGCATACAGAAGCTTAACTTTCAAAGTGCAGATGTGCCTGAGAACCTACAACCTATGTGTCTTAAAAGTAACAGCTTCCTACTTCCCCTTTTACGACTGCTCTTCTACTTTACAACGTGAAACCCAAGCTACCTAATTAATTATAGTGAAAATGCTAAATATTTTTTGTTAAAAATCTTGCTTCTTCCATCATCAAAGAGGGCATGATCAGACTTTACATGAAAGACTGGATGAATGTTTTAACGAGAACTGGCTTTGCCAACTAACTTACTTGGTAGACAGTTCCCGTAATTTGAATAAATTAAGTCTGCAGTCCTAAGTTGTGATAAAAATTTATTTAAAGCACAGAAAGGAACTTTAATGAAAAATACTGTTTCACAACATTATATTGAATAAGACATCTCAATTTTCCCAATCTTACCAAGTGTATCAGATCAAACAGTGCGCCTCAAGGTAAAAGCAACAAGCATCATCAATAGTCATTTTGACTGACTTGGCAAGCCCTTTTTAGATGTGTTCTGATGATTTGAGAAAACGAATGAATAATGACTAGGCAGCAAATTCTTTTCCAAGTCAGGTGGATTCCAATTCTCTTCTTTTTAACAAAATTAAAAGAGGACATAATTTAATCCTCAGTTAAAAAACAAAATGTTTTTTAATATAAGATTTGGTGAATTCAAATACTTGTATCATTATCTGTTTTTTAATCCATTTTGTATTGTTAACAAGGACAAAAATTTCTTTTGGAATGACTGATATTTAAAAACTTCAAATCTTATAGTCATAGGAAAATGGAACTTTCAATTTACACAGTTTTTTGTTGCAAATAAGTATCAACAATAATCAATAAAACATTCCCAAGTATAAAAGCATATTACACGAGGAAAAAAAAACTATGGAAAAGTAGACAAGTTATGAATACTAGGAGAAAAAGAAATGGAATATAATGAGTTGATTTTTTTATATAATGGAGGAGAGCCAACTCACTGTATCTTTTAAAATATCAGCTTTATTGAAATATAAACTTCACCCTTTTGAACAATTTAGTAATTCTTAGTATACTGAAGTTATGCAGCCATCACCACTATCTAAGTTCAGAACATTTTCATCACCCCAAAAAGACACTCTATCCAGCAGCAGTCACTCCCCAAATCTCTCCCCCCATCCCCACTACCCACTTCCCGGCCACCACTGACCTGCTTTACACTGACATGGATGTGCCCAGAGAGGACATTTCAAATAAATGCAATCATAGAAACCGTGGCCTTTAATGACTGCCTTCTTTCCTTTAGCATAATGCTTTCAAGGTTCATCCCTACTGTAGCATGAATCATTTTATTGTCAAATAACATTCCATTGTATGAATGTACCAAATTCTGTTTATCCATTTAGAAGTTGATGGATATTTGGTCTGTTTCCACATTTTGATTATTGAATAATGTTGCTGTAAGTATTTGAGTGCAAGTTTTTGTGTAGACATACGTTTTCATTCCTCCTACGTACGCAGCTCAATAGTGGGATTGCTAGGTCATAGGGTAACTCTGTGCTTAATCATTTGAGGAACTGCCAGAATGTTTTTCAAACTAGCCACACCAGTTTGCAGTCTCATGACAAGTGTATGAGAGTTTCAATTTCTTTACATCCTCACCCACACTTACCTACCCTTTTCATTTTAGCCATCCTACTGGGTGTGAACTGGTATCTTCTGGTTTTGATTTGCATCTCCCTAAGGACTAATGATGTTCAGCATCTTTTCACGCACTTATTGGCTATTTGTATATATTCTTTGGGGAAACGCCTATTCAAATCCTTTGCCCTTTTCTTATTGTCTTTTTATTGTTGAGTTGTAAGAGTTCTTCATATATTCTGGATATAAGCTCCTTCTCAGTAGATAATTTGCAAATATTTTCCCTCATTCTGGGGGTTGTCTTTTCACTTTCTTCATGGTGTTCTTTGAAGCACAAAAAGCTTTTAATCTAGATGAAATCCAATTTATCTATTTTTTTCCTTTGGTTACTTATGATTTTGGTGTCACGTGTAAAACATTACTGTTTAATCCAAGGTCACAAAGATTTACTCCTATGTTTTCTAAGAGTTTTATAGCATTAGCTCTTACATTTAGATATTCGATGCATTGTTGCATTCATTTTTGCACAGGGTAAGAAACACAAATGTAACTTCACTCTTTTGCACGTGGCTATCCAGTTGTCCCAGCACCGTTTGTTGAAAAGGCTATTCTTTCCTCCAGTCTCAGCATCCTCGTCAAAAATCAACCGACCATAAATGGAAGGTTTACTTCTGAATCTCAATTCTATTGCATGGATCTAGATGTCTGGTTTGATGCCAGTACAATATTCTCTTGATTCCTGTAGCTTTGTAGTAAGTTGTCTTCGTATTTGCATTTTTTATTGTGGTTAAAAAAATGCATAAAAAATTTACCATCTTAACCATTTCTAAGTGTACAGTTCAGTGTTAAGTATAATCACGCTGTTGTGAAATTTATGTCCAGAACTTTTTCATCTTGCAAATTGTAAACTCTATACTCATTAAAAGACAACTTCCCTTTTCCCCTTCCCCCTAGCCTCTGGTAACCATCATTCTACTTTCTGTTCTATGAATTTGACTACTTCAGATATTTCATATAAGTGGAATCACCAATTATTTTCTTGTAATAACTGGCTTATTTCACGTAACAAAATGCCCTCAAAGTTCATCCATGTTGTAGCATCTATCAGAATTTCCTTGTTTCTTAAGACTGAATAAATATTTCATTATATGTCTACACCACATTTTTGTTCATCCATGCATCTGCTGATGGACATTTTGGTTGCTCCACTTCTTAGCTATTGTGCATAGTACTGCTATGAACAGAGGTGTGCAATATTTCTTTGAGCTTGTGCTTTCAATTCTTTCGGATTGACACAGAAATGGGATAGTTGCATCATGTGGTATTTCTATTTCTAATTTTTTGAGGAACCTCCATATTATTTTCCACAGGACTGCACTATTTTACAATCCCACCAACACTGTACAAGTGTTTCAGTTTTGCCACATACTCACCACACTTGATATTTTCTGGGTTTTTTTTATAGTAGCCATCCTAATGAGTTTGAAGTGATATCTCATTGTAGTTAAACTGGCATTTTCTCTGATGATTAGTGAATGTCGAGCATCTTTTCATATGCTTGTTGGTTATTTGTATATACCATCATCAGAGAAATGTCTATTCAAGTCCTTTACCTACTTTTAAATTGGGTTGATTTTTTTTGTTGTAGATTTCCAGGAGTTTGTTACATATTCTGGATACTAACTCTTCATCATATATGATTTGCAAATATTTTCTCCCATTCTATAGGTTTCCATTTCACTGGGTTGACTGTGTCCTTTGATATACAAAAATTTGTAAGTTTGATGTAATCCCATGTCTATTTTTGTTTTTGTTGCCTGTGATTTGAGTGTCATATCCAAGAAATCATTGCCAAGTCCAATGTCATGAAGGTTTCTTCTAGGAGCTTTATAGTTTTAGGTTTCATATTCTGAGTTAATTTTTTACATGGCATAAGGGTCCAACATCATTGTCTCGCTTGTGGATATCATTTA